ACTTGCCAACAGTGTGTAACAGAGCCCTAACATGCTCAGTACTTGCCAACAGTGTGTAACAGAGCCCTAACATGCTCAGTACTTGCCAACAGAGTATAAAAGAGAAATAACCGATCACCCGACCCTCTGTTACCTTGGTCAGTAAATCCTCCTCCATACTGACTTTCCTCCACCACACAACTTAGTGAAGCAGGAGCTGTACCAAGGCTACCTTACTGAATGTTGTGGACACGAGTAGTTTACTAGGCAGGATGTCGTTTGTTAACGGGCAAGGCATCTCGATCTGTGCCAATAACTTATTTGGTGCGGTTTTACATAGGAGGATCGTCGACTGTTTGCAGAGGATTGCCAACCGACCATATCTGTTGAAATTGCCTGAAAGGAGCCCAGAATCTGTCCGGAGTTTTGTGTAGCTATGATAAAACTACTGGACACCCAATAAGCTTTTTTTTTTTTTTTTAAGAATTAGCTTCTACCCTTCAGTAGTTGCAGTCTTTTGTTTCTACGCTAGACTGCTTGTAATCGCTGTGGGTGGTAACATGGGCAGTTTATATAATAAAATATGGCGTGATTTCCTTCTGGGTTAACCCTTATGTTATCAACCCTTAACCCAAATTTAGTTTATCATCGGAATATATTTTACTTTCCTTTTGTTAACATACTGTTTCATTAATCGTCTCTCTCTTTTCTTACCCTTCATAATGGATATTCTACAAACCTGTGATGATGATAAGGGTTCAGAGTGGTGGTGGGGGAAGGGGTGTGTGAAGGTGCGGGGTCCGGGGAAATGTGGAGAAGGTCGTAGAGGTGTTTTAAATCAATAATGCAGGTCTTCGAGGTTCCGGAGAGTGGAAAAGAGACTCCCGAAGACTACGGAAGGTGGAGTTGGAGGCAGCGCCGGGATTGACGAAGTAGATGAGGTAGTAGAGAAGGTACATGGTCTGGGCGTCGACATAATGGAAGCTTATCACCTCCTTGCTCATCTCAGAGAACCCCTGTCAAGGCAAAAAACAAAAACAAAACAAGATTTAGTTGGACGTGACGAGATCGACATAAGGACACAATCTGATTACAATTGGTGACGTGGTGGACAATATATTTTTTTCTTATTCACAGCGTCGGTGCATGAAACAGGATTGTCGGTACACCATATTGTGAAACCAGTGACGTTTAAGGGGTCAGTTCTGGGATTCTGAGGTGGCACGATACAATTTTGATGGCATATGAGTACAAGGAACGTTGCCAGTGGTTATAGCACCTATAAACCTCCAAAGTGACTCCTGGTCAATATAATTCGCCTGATTGAGGTGATATACTGTTTATATTATCATTGGTGGATAATTCTCAAACGGATATTTGCGCCGGAACTATGATACAAGTTCTTTGAACTATTTCACGAAAAAAATTCAAAACAACTCACAAATTTATAAGGCAAGACGGATATTTTCTTGAGCCAGAGGTGCCAAAAGCTGTTGGCTTGACGTGGGTCGAGCACCTTGTTAGGCGGGTATACGTGGAACCTCTGTCGTCCTGATGAGTCCCGCGAGTCAAGCAACTCCACACCTGTCGAGAGAAACACATGTGAGTACCTCTAACACCTGTCTCCCCCTCTCTCTTTCTCCCATACACATCTACCCCCCTTCTCTCTCTCAGGCACACCTGCCTCCCCTCTTTCTTTTTCATAGACACCTGCACCCCCTCTCTCATACACACCTACCCCCCTCTCACTCATACACACTTACCCCTCTCCCTCTCTCACACATGCTTGTCCCCCTCGCCCCTCTCTCATACACATCTGCCTCCCCTCTCTGATAAACACCTGCCCCCCCCCTCTCTCTCTCATACACACTCTTTTTAAGGGGGATTAGCCCATCTGGATTCAGGTCACTGACCCACATCAGGGCCTTGGGAGCGAAAATATGATGATAATAATAATAATAATAATAATAATAATAATAATAATAATAAAAGAACCATCAATAAATACAAAAAAGAAAAATCAAGAGCGAGAAACGATATACACTATGTATGTTGTATTGTTAAACTAAGAAACAATTGAGACCCTGCAATTGTGAGTAAATGAGGCAGAAAGTCAGTCCGACCAGCAATCTGGGATTTGGTCACAATTTTTTTGATGCCATATGGCAGCAGGGTCTACCATTAGACAATACATTATGCTTCCAATATCTTCCCAGGCGGTAGTACTTCCTCGTTTGATAGCTGCCTACTACCTACCAAGGAATAGAGACAGTAAGGATGGTTCACCGATCACTTGCTTTACCCACAATGCACAGCTCGGTGACGTCACTGTTGTAAACACGCGTGCTCTGGTGACCTCCGTGTTTATGCTCGCCTCTACTCCCGGGACCAGTGTTTCTATAATTATGGTTATTTGTGCAACATACGTAAAGTGACCATATTTCTTGGAGCTAAAAGCAGGACATACCAAAAATTATGAAAGAAAAACCAAACAACCCGTACACCAACACCGATTACAGTTATACTTGACCCAAAACCAAAACAATTGTACATAACAATGGTATTTGCCTAATTACCTGTTAATGCTTGTATCTTTCACTGGATAAAATTTGTTTTAACAACTCTGGAGTTGATCTTAGTATATTGTAGAATTCCAGACAGGTTTGCTTGAAGTTAACTTTAGTGACTAGTAAGGCTTTGAGGATTGGAACTTTTACTTGTGATTTTTCAAATGTCCACAGTTTGTTCATTTGAGAGAAAACACGTTAGGTAGATGAATTTGTTCCAGGAAGACACAGATTGAACTGAACCAATTTTAATATGTGATGGTGGGTAATACCTCTGTCTTTAAAGTGAGTAAACATTTCTACCCAGCACTGGTCTGTAGGTAACTTTGCTGCATACCACTCTGACACTTTTTCCTCAGAGATATAACTTCTAATACAGCAAAACTAGTCAAATAACTCAGTATCAAACTTTAAATCGTTGAATTTCTTTTCTGCAGCAAAATCCACTGTTTTCTCAACATCTTGCCATTTTGGTATTTGCTTTAATGAGGCCCACTGCTTGTGTTTAAAGTCTTGAAAGTGACCTGTCCACTGGCCTAAAAACTGAACACATGTGTCATAAAAATCTGTAACTGTTTTCTTCAATGCAGGTGAATCAATTAATCCATCTTCTTCAAGTTTGATAGCGATCATAACTTCTACTGCTGTTATATCTTCCCCTTCAATCTTTGAGATGACTTGATGGAAGGTGGCTGACTGACTATGCACAAAGTTGAGCCAGACTTCTGCACAATGGTTCTCAAAAAATCTTCAGCACAACAGGACACTTGCTTTGACTGGTTAAATACGACTTTAAGCCAGAAAACATTCTATGGATTCTCTCAATAGCAAGCATTAGTGCTAACCATCTTGTTTTACTGTACCCCAGTAGCTGTTTATATTCAATTTCCACAAAATCGCAGAAGTCCTTCAAGTCTTCTACTCTAACTGTATACAAGTAGAAATATGAATATATCTTAACAACAACTGTTTCTACATCAATTGGCAAACAGCCGCAGACAGTGTTGCACATCATTATTTAAAGTGTGGGCACAACAACCAGTACCAATAAATTCTCTGCTTAAGTTAGTATTAAGCTTCCTGAAAATGTTATTAACTCCTTTTCTTAAAGCTCCACCAAAATTACAGTTTGTATTATCACCGTAGAAAGCAACTAATTTCTTGCCAAGATCATGTTGTTTGATAATATCTCCGAAATAGTTTACCACAATATCCGAGGTTTCTCCAGGCTGAGACTGAAAGTCGATGAGGTTTACTTGAACACCTTCATAGGGTTGAAAGAAGTGAGTCAGTTCAGGGAAGATTTTGGTGCTCCCATGGTTGCTTACATCAGTTTACATTGTTACACAATGAGCATCCTTCAACTGTTTATCCAGTTCTGATAAGGCATAAAGGTTAAGATATATTTGTAACAATTGTACGGGGGTTTGCCACTCGTTTACGATACGTAACACCCAAACATTACTTTTTGTGCCAATGCCAACCTCTCTCTCTCTGTCAAAAATGTTTCGAATTTCGTGTCAAAATTTTTTTCTTTCGCCAATGAAGAGGGACATTCGGGACAAATGTCAGAATGCGGGACGCTTGTTAAAAAATCGAGATTGTCCCGCCAAGATAGGGACGTCTGGTCATCTTAAATATACGGGTGCAGCAACACAACTCAAATCCGAAGGAGCGAGCACATTAAGTTTTACAGATATCCTTGAGATAAGAAAACTTGTGATGAATGGATAAATGCCCATAAGCGTTCTAATAAAAAACCCCACCACATTAGGCTGGCTAGCCAAGAACTTGTTTGAAGAATTCATATTTCTTTTGTATCTCTTTAATTCTGGAATGTTTGTCAATATCCAGGTATCTGCAGGAAGGTGAGACATTCATTTTGCTATATGTGACCAAAAAGAACTCTGAAGATATTTAATAATATTGAGAAAAAAAAAGTTAAGTACGTACAATGAAAGGCAAAAGTCGTGTCGTGAAATTTGGTGAAAACATATGTTAAAGGGCTAAACATTTGGTGCACTCCGCCTTGTGGTAAGGGGTTCTCATAATGTTTCACGAGTTATATTTAATCTTCGGACAAAACCGCGACACGACTTTTGTCTTTGATTACACTCGGTAAAAAAAAAAATACCGTTACAATTCCTGCGCGAAACAAACTGACACTACAAACGAAGTGTTTCAAAAAGGCCCCTGAAGCATTCCTCTCATTGGTAGCCCTGCGCGTGTAGGCGTTCGGCCACACGTGCTCGAACCAAGTGATCGGCACTCTGAAACGAGTCAGAGTTAGTGCTGCCACACTAACACAATTAGAAACTTGATCGAAACTCTATGCCTCATTTGTCCATGTCGAACCATTCTCTGAACGCTGGCCATACTGGTCGGACGTGTCAGCCTTGTACTCTGCGATAAAACTGCTGATTTTCACTGGCTGCCTAAGCTTTACACCATGCCTGGGGCAAGTGGTGGGCAGAAACTTGTGAAGGATTTGGCTAGAGAAGAAACCCATAGCACTGCTGAACAGCTTAGAAGACGACCTGCGGCTTTCAAGTAGCGAATCGAAAGCAGATGATCCGCGGCCAACAACAATGGAGGTGACAGACAGCTTTGAAGAGGTGATTAGTAAGAAAGAAAAGAAGTGGAGGCGAGAGTTGGTGAAGAAAAGTGAAGGAAGTGATAGTGATGAGATCAAGAATGATAGAAAGAAAAAGACGTCACACGCAGAAGAAAGCCGAAAGAATTCAACTGGGAATAATACGCAGCAGGTTAGTCGAATGGATCATCTTGAAAGTACCAATGTGCCCGACAACTGGTGGTGAAACCGCTCAGGTAGGAGGAGGTTAAACTTTCAATTAATTACGGATATCATGCAGGCGGGTGTATGGGCTCTACACTGGGAAGAGAGCATAAAAAGGTTTGAACCCTGTTTGGGAAGGTCATAATAATTCCTGTCTGACTGTATAGCTGGGGATGAGGCGGTCAAGTTTTGAAACGACGACAGGGTTTAAGGAGGTGATTTTGACGATGACAGAGGACAAAGAAACAGCACACCAAGATGATCGTTTTCATGTACCCGGTAATACTGGATCTTGACTTTCTACTTGACGATACACGATTCGTATGGGCAAAGCGACACGAAATCCGAGGTGAGAAGAAGAATCAAGTGGTAGCCTTGATAAAGGGAGACGTTGGGAAGAAAATTAATTTCTGGAATAGGATATACTGTAGGAGAATTGCAAAGTTTATTGAACAACCAGTTCTGTGTTAAAAGTGCAGCAGGTAGGGCCATATGGACTGGAAATGTCAAAGTAAGATATAAAGGTGTCGTTGCCGTGGAAAAATCACAATTCAATAGAGATGTGGAATTAAAATGGTCTGGGACAACATGTTGTGTGCCGTGCTGTTGCACAATAGTGGCGGCGCGCATAGTAACAGGTTCCTCAATTTTACAATAAAAACCACAGATAAGTAAGGGTGCGGTGGCAGAGCATGGGGAGGTCTGGCAGCGAGAAAGGAGGAAGACGAGGAGTTGCGGGTGGGGCAGCTCTATTCAACTGAGAACGTGTGGAAGAAGAGGATGGAACAGAGTGACACGTTGAAAGTGACTTGAGGAAATGGTGCAGGAGCTGCACCAAAAAGTTATTCAGGAAGAGAAGGTAATTGGCAAGCTTGGTGATGGGTGTGGTGTAGTAGTTCAGCTCAGGTAAAGTTCAGATGCTTAGAAAAAAAGGTAGAGGACAACAGAAAATGGTACTTGTTTGCTGAACATAGAAATGTGGATGTTGAACTAAAAGGAAAGAAAGGTTGAAAATAATACAGTAATAAAAGTCAACAAACCATCTTTGCTTTACAGGGGACCGGAAATGTGAATATAAAGAAGAAGATAACCCACAAGTGGGGTGACATGCAGGTATTACATGATAAGGTATTAGCTCAGTGAAAAAAGTAATGGAACAGTTTGAGAATGAGAGAGAATAAAGGTTAGTTTCTGTTGTTAATAGGGAAAATGGAGGACAC